GTAAATTTATAGACTTGTTCACGCCTTTTGGACGAGAATAAACAACTGCCTTTTACAGTGGTGTCGTTTGATTTGAATACAAACTCATAGTTATCTGAAAATACACACACACACACATAAGGATTGGATTAATTCTGAGATCCCAAGGTCTCCGAGCCCTTATCTTAATTGCTCTAATCATGGACTGCATCCTAATCCATACCAAACTCTTTTAATCTATACTTAATTCAATACGCTGAGTCTACTTGTGTAAGACTTATAATTTGAAATCTGCAAAAAACTAATCCACGAGTGCAGATTAAAATAAACTCATGGTTTTTTCCATTCAAAACTCCAACATAGTCTTGCCGAGCAGCGAAAATTTTGGTCTCAAACGGTTCTCTGGTCTTTTGTTGGTTGCCATGAGGGCTTCCATATCTGCCTGCATTTGTTTGACTCTGCACTTTAGGTGGTACATCTGACTAATTAGAATTTGTCTGAGTTATGTTTGTTACAAGTTTAATGATTGTAAACAACTTTTCATCAGGAATTATTGTAAAATAATGCGGTTTCATTTGCGTACCGCATAGTTCTTTTTTCTTTCTTTTTTTCCTTCTCCTTTCTAATATAGATTGTACCTTTACATGACCAAACAGACATGCGAGAGAGAAGCAAAGACAGCCGCTGAATATTTGACGTTAGGAAAAAGAGATTTTTGCAATAGCGTTGTGAAGTTGCGTATGTGGGAGAAAAAAGTGAATGCGAATATTACTTCTTGATAATTAACCTACAACACTTGCAAGTGTATTACTTATAAGAGAGATGTGCGACTTGGAATTAGTATATGACATTAATCTTTGAAACTTTTGGGTAGGGAGAATTTTTTTCTAGTTTTCAGTGTTCAAACGGATACTCCACGTATTATAAAATAAGTAGAAAGACAAAAAAATATGTTAATTTTCTCCAACTTATAATATGATATGTAAAATACTGCTTAAATACTCCATACTTTAAAAATAAGTAGGACATTCCTCACATCCTCATATATAGAGTGAGGAGCATGCTTGAGTTAGTCGGGGGTTTGGAAGATTCAAACAATGACATTGACAGGCTCCATAATTCTGGTCCAATCCTTTATTTTATTTTCTTCCATGCTTAACAAAAAATCAGGCACTGACATTTGACATTGAAAACTTTAGATATTGAAAACCTCCAACATAATAACAAGAAATTTCGTTTTGCCATAATTGCAAGTCATTTGGACATAAGAGAAATGCTAAAAAAAACTCTTTCAAAAGAGAATTTCTATGACTTTTTTTTACACTTTATATTTTTGGAACAACGATTTATAATGTTAAAATAGAAATTTACGTGAGGTGGCAAAAAATCTATAAAATGTTAAGAATTTTACTTGAACATAAATTTGGATGACTTGATGGGCATGCAGATGCAGAAACCTTGACCTGGCAATAACATTTGGCTGTGGGTCTGCTGTCCCGGAATGCATGTTCCGTGTGTGTCTCCTTGTCTAATTTTTTAACATCTGTCCTTACATTTAAAAGACACTGACACTGTTAAGTTTTATTAAAACATAATAGAAAATTAAAAAATCTCGTCTTAGCCCCAGTTCATCGCAATCTTCTCCGTTTTAACTCTGTTAAGCTGGTTTGCTGCCATGGCCTCTTGGTGCTCCAAGTAGAAATCCACTCTTCCCTCGAATTGAAAGCATAAGATTTTAATTGATACCACAGAACAGAACTGCTCCGTCAAAGACGAAGAGTCGTCACTCTAGCTATCAGGAACAATCATTTTCTTCGACACAGCAGCCGCTAAAGATGGCATATCAGAATCATAGAAGACTTTCCAGCAAAGATCTTCCCTACAAACGCACAAAACCGACTTAAGCAGTGCCTTTCTTTCTAAAATTTTAATCTTTTCAACAAAATTCAATTCAAAACCACACAAACCCAGATTATGCAATATGATCAATTGCAATTTCAAATCGAATCTAATGTTTGACGATATCATTTAGATTCATGAAGTCGTCTTTCCAGACTCTGTTTTTTGGTGGTATGAAGAAGGCGGCGGCGGCGGCCAACTAGGTTAGAAGACGAGACAGATTTTTTATTGTTTTTTTAATAAGAATTAACAGTGCTAATGGTTTGTTAAGCGTAAAGACGTGTAAAAAAAATAGACAAAGAGGCACAAACGGGACATGCATTACGGGACAGCAAATCCACAGCCATAACATTTGGTTGGATAAAACGCGTTTTGGTGTAGGTTGCATTTATATATGTGAAATTTTATTTAAACTCATGTAACTTTCTTTTATTTAAACTCTCTGTATAAACACACACATGGGTAGCTTACTAGCTTGGCTAGGGGAATGCAGGAGCCAAACTTTATATCTCTACTAATGAAAATGGTTCCCTTCCTTGTATTGCTATTGTTATCATCAAAATTAATTGTTGCCGATGTTTCAGAAGATCCAATACACAGTTACCCTCCCTCTCTCTTATCTCTCATGTACATTAAATTATTGTTTTGGCTGTTTGATTCTTATTTTGTTTTTAATTTTAAAAGAACAAAATACTGAAAGTTTTTTTTTTTTTTTTAAAATTTTTGGCGTTATTAAGATATGCTTTGATTTCGGTTTCAATTTTCAATTTTTTTTTAACACTTCCCAAACAAGTTTCACAAAAATAAAACTGAAAAAGTAAAAATTAAAAATTTAAATGGTTGTTGAACGAGCCCTTAACAAACATCTAGTCATCTGTAATGATGAAAAGTTTCTTCTTTGTTATTGCAGAGGATGCAGCAAGGAAGATGATCATCAGTAGGTCACATCTGCAATGGAGATGATTTTGGCAGGAAAGGTCCAATAGAAGTACCAATAGGTTCTAAACCACCGGGATCGGGATAATAGCTATAATAATGTGTCGCTGTTGCATTCTCTCCTCTCTTTTTTTCCTCTCATGTTCTCCTCTCCTATTTAAACGGTTACGTTTAAGTCACGTCAACATCTTATATTTATTTTTTTTTATAGAAATGTAAAGACAAAATAGAAAATGTGAGAGGAGTGAATGGAAATGGATGGAAAGAGGAAGAAAGAGAATCATAGTTCCTCAAACAAATCCTTAATGCTAGTTCAAAAGTTGAAAAACGAATATGAATGGAAGAAAAAGTTCAATCCAAAATAAGAGTTGTTACCTACTATAATCTTTGTGGGAAAAAGGGTGCTAAAAAAAGTTAAGCAAAAATGTTGTTCTCATTAACAATGTTAGGCATGATTTAAAAAAAAACACTAGGCGCTAGTCGAGTGGCGGGGAGTGACCTAGCACCTAGGCGATTTTATAGTTTTAATTTTATGTTACATATTTACTTATACTTAAAAAAATACATAATTGTGATGGGATATATAAATGAAAAAAAATAGAATGACATATAGATCAAAAAATATTTGAAAACATGGGGAACAAGCATATAATGAGTGTTCATCTAAGTATTCAACAAATTTTTTATAATTTATTAAAAAATTAAAATATAAAATGAAAGTTATCTATTTTTTGTTTAGGGGGGGCCTAGTCAAATCTAGGGGCTCATTCTTAATTTTCAAACTCCTAGAAATTAATTAGGACGGTGACCTCCTAGTGGAGATTTTTATAACAGTGATGTTAGGCATGCTGTACCTAAATTTCATGCGGCTTTTCACGTACAAATGTTTAGTAAGTTCACAAAATAAAGAAAAACACTTTAAACTCAACTGTAGTATAAATTTACAGGGAGTGAAGGGAGAGTGGTCACAGAGTAAAAAGAGAGATACGACATTGAGGAATTTACATGAGGAAAGATCAAACATTAATAAGAAAGATATTTTAGATTTCATGAGATTTCTACATAATCTTCTTTTAGATCTCATAAGATTTCTACATTATATCTACTAAAACTCAGTTGAAATCGACACTGTTCAGCAATAGTAAAAGGGCGGAAATGCCCCTGGCTTTTTCCTCCGGTTCTTCTTCTCTTTGGTTTTTGGGAAAGCGAAATGCCACTTTTGCCCATTGCTTCCACGCGTCTGTCATGGATGGATCCTCTATTTGGACTGTTGTTCTCCCTGTCTACCCATCCATATCTGTTGGGAAAACAAAAAAATTATTAAAAAAAAATGATTAAAACAGTGCCACATGGTTTATGGCACAACTAACAATAAAATTTTATATCTTCTTAATTTTTTAAACCTATGAATAGTTATTGGCAGAACAAAAAAAGTATGATTAAAGTAGGGCCACTAGCTTTGTGACACAACTAACAATAAAAATTTATATCTTTTTAATTTTTTCAACCCAGGTATACTGTTCATGGACAGTAAAGTGGCAAAAATGCCCCTCGGTTTTTGCTCTGTTTCTCTTGCTGTTTCCATATTTGTATAGTCGATTGACTATTTTACCCATTCACTACACGCGACCATCATCCAGTCACCCTCTATTTCGGCTGTGTGTTCTCGAATTGTCTGTTTGCTTCCCTATTTTGTTTGACTGTTGCTCTCCTTCCTGTCTACCCCGTCTATATCTGTTGGGAAAACAAAAAAATTATTAAAAAAATATGATTAAAACAGGGCCACATGATTTGTGGCACAACTAACAATAAAAATTTATTTCTTAACTTTTTAAATCTATGTATAGCTATTGGGAGAACAAAAAAATATTAAACATATTATCTATATACTAAATCTCAGCAGAAAACCACTGTTCATTATGTGAGAGCTAGCACTGTTCACCAGCAGTGAACTCCCCAAGCTGCCCTCCCATTCCTTCCTTCCTGGATCTTTTCTCCCTTTCTGCTGCAGTAAAATGACCTTCTTGCCGTTGAATCCAGCGTTTGATTTTTTTTCGGCCCGAATGCTCTCACGTGTCGATCATCGCTTCGGCTTCTCTTTGTCGTTCCACGTGTCAAACATCGACCCACCCTCTGTCCGGTTTTCCTTTTGCTTCTGTCTTGCTTGCCCTCCAGCTGGATCTCTAGAATTTTCCTTTGGTTTCTATCACCCATCCAATCCGACTCACCATTACACCCCCACTCAACCCTCACTTCTCTGTTCACTTCTCAGACTCCCAACACTGTCACTCTCTCTCATCCCTCACTATTCTCTGCCTCTCCCATTTGTCCCCCCTCTGCAACTCTCCTTCTCACTCTCGGCAAAACCGAGAACCACCACCGTAATCCCTGGAGCTTTTGCGCTGATTCCAGTTTTTTAGTAATTTCTAAGAAACGCAGTCTGCGATACCTGTTCCGGCCTGATTTGAAGAAGATTTCTCAAGCGACTGTAATTTCATGGTAAGTTGGCTTAAAGCAGTTCCAAAATTCGGGATTGTTTGGGATATTTTTAGGTTTTTTCTGATTCTTGAAAAAAACCATGGTTAAGAGTAAATTAATTATATTTTAATTTTCATTTAATTCAGGTAACCGTCTTTCAGTTTTTTGGTTTGAACGCTATAACCAGCAATCTTTGAAAAAGGTTGGTTCTTGAATATTTTTATTTATATCCTTTTGGTTGTTTGAATGGACTTCCTCTAATCTAAATGAAGCTAACTTGACTATCTGTTTTTGTATACTGTATTTGCTTTGTTAAATTAGTTCTTTTTGGTTGAAAATTTTTGTTTGGTTTTGCAGATCAAAGGGGCCAAGCGGTGGAGGAGTGGGTTAATAGTTATGTGTTCTTCTTGATAATTGTATGTGTTTATGCCCTCATGATATTGTGACATACCATGGGATTGTTTGTGATCTGATTAAATACATAGTATGCTTTTCAGCATTGTTACAGGCTTTAGTTTTTTTGGAACTAATGGATAATTAGATTTATTGTATTTGTTGATGCATTGTGTAACTTATTTGATTTTAGTTTTCCTACCCCAGTGAACATGTTACTTACTGCATTATCCGCCTTATTTTCATTTTAAAAAAGATTTTTTTTTTTTATATATGAATTAATAATAAATAAAGAATTGAGAATAGAAATTTAGGAAAGAACAACGAGTGTAAATCTACAATCTATATTATTAATTGTATGCAAAAATTGATTAAAAATACCAAATCAATAACTCACAACTAAGAATGTGAGTAAATCTTGGTATAAGTGTTATACAAATGTTGTTTTATAACAACTGTATGTAAGTTTATTCTACTTGAGATTATAACATGAAAAACTCCACAGAATAAGACTGCAGCAGCTGCAGCTCCACCATCATTTCTGAAAAATTAGGTAAAAAATCTCCTCTGCAAAATTTTTTTTTTATTTATTTATTTATTTAACAATGAACCAATGCACACAAAAAAGTTTAGCATGCTCTGATTTTTGTCTCTTGATAGCACAGATTTACTAAGTCAATTACCTGCTTTGCAACAGCTTCTTTCTTGCCTTCTTGATTGCCAGGTCCGTATGCACGCATTATAATTATGTTTTTGTAGTTTAATTATCCTATTTAAAATTTCTATCAAAACATTCATTTTTCCTGCGTTTTGAAGTTGAATAGTTTAGTTTTTGGAGTGAACATAATTTCATGTACAAGTCACTTGCTTTTCATTTTTCAGTTTCTGTTCTGTTAATGTCAGATGCTTCAAGAAGCACTTCTATGTATTTTTAAGGGAGCATTTGGACCTTGATAGAAACTTCAAACATGTTTTAAGTAAAAACATTTCTAGCAAAAGCGCTTGAAAGTATAAGTGCTTCTTATAGAACAGCTTTCAAATGACTAATAAGCCCTTTGTTTCATTGCAATTGAAGATTTGGTTTTGGATTTCAGGTCAAGCTCTCTGAGTACATTGGGAATAAGTGTGTGATTCTCTTTTTTTACGCATTTGACGTCACATTTGTTTGTCCTATAGGTAAGTATGTTTTCGTAATCAGCATTTCTGCGTTGTACATGTTTTGTGTAAATAGGTTTTACATACATAGGCACAAAGCTTATAACACATTTAGTCCATTATTCTAACAGTTATATACAATACTGATAATCTATTTCACATTCCCACGGCAACGTGCAAGTTATCTATATATACGAATTTGATAAGCAATGTCCATTATCTAAAATTTGGGACTGATCATAAAAAAGGGTTGTTACTTTTTATAATAGGAACATAGAGGAACAAAAACCAACTTTCATTTTCCAGCGACTGACTCCAACTTTGTTGTTTTGTTCTCAATTTTAATCTTCTATCTACTTGAATCTATTTTTTAAGCCTAATTAGTTCATGCACTTATCATGTTTAAGTATGCTAAATCCTTTATATTTAAAATTTTGTGTCTTGAATATCAAGATAGAGAGACTTTTCTCTGAAAACACCGTATGTCCATTAACCACACATATGTTCAGTTATCTCATTGTTATCATCCATAGTTCAAACCACACATAATATAAAATTTGACAAACTTTACATGTTTGGTTAATAATGCCTAATGTTTTCGCCAATGCAGGACCTGGTAAGCCAACAGTTTTCAACTGTGTAAGTCATTTTTCTAACTTTCCGTTGGTCCTTTTATTGTTCAGATCTTTAGCAAGAGGATCATGATAGTCCTTTTATTGTTCTGATCTTTAGCAAGAGGATCCTTTTAATAAATCCAACCGTCATTTGTTCACATTAACTTTTATTTTTCCAATTTCTAACAGATAAATGAAAATAGCTCCATATGAGAAGAAAGGAGGAACAAACTGAAGAAACAAACTCATTTGATTAAGGAAGTTCAACTCTACTCATTGTTTCTTATTTTAGATAGGGTTGTGATTGGATTTCCACACATATACAAGTAGTACGGCTTATCATGTATATTTAAAACTTGCGACATATTTTATACAGTTTTAAAACCCGCAGCATCGCGCGGGCACTCATGCTAGTTATATATACTAAAAGCCAGTTGAAACTGGCACTGTTCAGCAATAGTAAAAGGACGGAAATGCCCTCCAAATAATTTTCTCAGCTGGGTTTCTCTCGGCTTCTGTACAGTGAAAGGGCTGTTTTGCCCTTTTGATTCCACGCGTCCATCATCCGTGTATGTTTTAGCTTTGGTTATTCTGGATCTTTCTTTTGCTTTCGCCTATTCTCTCGCATATCTCCAGTTGCTTTGTTTCTCACCGTCTTTTTTCTTCGCCTTCGCTTCTGTTTTCTTCATCGTGTTGCTTCGTTGTTCAAAACGTCGACCATTTTGCTTAGTTGTTCTCCGATTAATGGTCACAGGTGTTAAATTCTCTGCCTTTTTGGTTTGATTCCAATAATTTTTTGGGTTTTTGGTTGGTTGGACCAGGGTTTTCCAAGTAAGTTTTACATGTATATTACCGCACGGGGTTTCGATTTTCCATTTTTTTGGATTCTTTTTGTTAATATCTCATGGGCTTTGCTTTTTGATTTCAGAAATTTTGTGCCCATCTTGGGTTCGCTTCGGACTTGGTTGCGACCGATCTAATCCGGCGTTTCCAGGTGAGTTTTGCATGTTTATCAGCTTATATGGTTTCGATCTTTTGTTTTTCGATGGATCGTTGTTGTGCGTGTCTGATGCGTTTTGTTTTCCAGATTCGGGAAACGGTCCCTTTCAGATTTTTGGATTTTCGATTCTGATTCTTGGAACTCTCTGTGCTAAAGGTATATAAATGTATTATTTGTTTTTTCCTTTGTTCCCTTTGTGGCTGAATTTTTTTTTTTTTGGTTTTGTTTTGGTGATTTGGGACCTTTTTTGTGTGTGTTTGGGTTGTTAATTGGTGAATCTATGGGGTTTTGTGATTTTGGATTTAGGAATGGGTTTTATGTTGAAATTTCCTTTTTGTGATTTTGGATTTAGAAATGGATTTTCATTTGAATTTTTTTTTTTTTTTTGGTGACTTTGTGGATATTGGGTTGTTGATGAGATCCAAGGGCGGAGATCGGGATGAGAAGAAGATATTGAGAGGTTTGGTTTCATCTTCTACTCTCTCTCCATAACCGTTAATCCCCATTACCTTTCAATTTCATCTTCTACTCTCTCTCACTCTCTCGCTCTCCTCTGCTCTGAGATGGCTCTTGAGGTCGCTGTCAAGGCCGCCTTGGGCGCCCCTCATCTTCTCGGCGATTGTACGTTCACAATTCTCTCTATTTCCCTCGATTTCCTTTCTGGGGTTTGATCAAATTTTGCTACTTTGGTATAATTTTCCATCTTTTGCTTCTGACAGACCCTTTCAGCCAAAGGGTTCTTCTGACCTTGGAGGAGAAGAAAGTGCCCTACAAATTGCACTTAATCAATCTCAGCGACAACCCAGTGGTATTTTACTTGGTTTGAATTTTTGATCCCGAAAATACATGCAGGCATAGATGGAAATATGTGATTTTTGTACTTTTAATGGATTTTGGTGTATTTTTTTTGGAGTGTCTGAGGAATTGGGTTTGGGGTTTTTGTTGGTGATTTGTAGGTTTACGGAAGTGAATCCAGAGGGGAAGGTGTCTATCACTGAGGATAAACTTTTTGTCTTCAGGTTAGCACTATTGCTTTTTCCTACCGGTCATTGGTGTGCTAATAGTGTTGAGAACAATGCCTAATTTAGTTTAACTCTTCTCATTTTGATAATTACCTTTTCCACTGCCTTCTTGAACTTGGAATTAGTTTGATAGCATTTTGGTTTTAAGCGTTTATAAAAATATTTCATTTCAATGAACAAGTCATTGATCTATTAACTCTTATTTGTTGAAGATTTAGTGCTAAAAGCTATGAGTTACAAGTATTACATTCCATTCACCAAGTCATTGATATATTTAATTCTTATTCGCTAGAGGATTGAGATTTTAACTCTTCTCATCTTTGTTGCAGCCAATAACAAGAATAAACATTCTCCATTGCTTCGCCCGCTTCTACCAACAAATTGAAACCTAAACATTAAAATTTCATGACAACGATTTCACCCATTTATCATAAAATTGGTAGACATAACTTCATACCATCTCAGAGCAGAAATAAAGGTTTTAATTTTCTTTTACTTTGTTATTGCTCACTCTGTTTACTTTTCCTCAATTTAAGTCTCCAAACAAGCTACTGTTTGTAAGTCCTATCAATCTTCAATTTTTATTTTTCTTGCTTTGATTTCAGTTCTTTTATTACTAATTTTAATCATTTGTGTCCGCTACTGATATCTTGGTATGTTAGTTTGAAAATGTGTCCCTTTGAATTTTAAAATTTGGCAAATTATTTGAAGCAATTCTAATTTTAGCTTTATGGACTTTACAAATAGGAAGATGAGGAGACAAAAAGAAGTACAAGGGGATGCATTTAGCTTCCATTTTTGAGGTTCCAGGCACCCAAAATCTGTGGTGAGTTCAAAAAAAAAAAAAAAAAAAAAAAAAAAATCTCATTTTGATATAAAGTTTGGATTTTCAAATCTGGATTGGATTTAATTTTACATTTAATTTGATGGGTTTGATTTATATGCAAGGACTTTGCTTTTATTAATGCATAAAATATTAATTAAATTTTAATTAAGATGCTAACTTTGTAGGTACCCTAGAATTAACAATGTAGCTGGAGTTCTCCACTGGCTTAAGCACAGTGGAGAACTCAAGTACAGAACTCTCTATCTGTTTCTCAATCTTGGAACCTCTGGCCTCTGCAAGAAGGTTCGTCTCTCTTTGTCTCTCTCACACTTTTTTTTTTTTTTTTTTAATTCGTAATCGAATTTCCTTTGCATAAATGATAGATCTGTTGCAGTGTAGCTGCAAATCCTACCCTCTGTTTGTTACTTTGTTCCAATTGTTGCAATCAATTTTTCATTGTTTATTTGGTCAATTCTTGCATTGTTTTATTTGGTGAATTCTCGATTAACGACAGGTTCTTCTTGCTTGGTCTAATTAGGTAACTTAAGAATTTCATCTGTTGATTAAATTTCATGTGAGAATTATTTTTTTGTCCTGATGGATCTTTTTTTTAATTTTTTAATTATGTAGCCGATGAGTTCGGTATTTCTTTGGAGTCTCTGCAAGTTTAAACTAATCTATGTTGTTATTTTGATTGTGCGTTTGGTGACTGACGCTATTTTAATTAGAATGTTTTCAATTTAGTGTCATCTCAATCTCAATGGGTTTTTATGATATGCCTTATCAGTGAATTTATCTACATTTTTCAATGTTGGTCTCGACGATTGTGATCACTGCACTCTGGATTTTGTTTGAATTCCCAAATTTTGTCGAACATTTGACAAGTGCTCCTTCAATAAATTTCAAGTAAAGAACGTCTAAATATGACAATTTTAGGGTTTCAAATTCATTGGAAAATATGAAATAATATTGCATAATTTCTGATTAATGTGAAAAATTGGTACTTTTGTAGTGATATATGCTTTTGGAGAAAGTTGTAAAGTTTGATACTTTCCAGCTTTAATCTAATTTTTCCATTGTCTTAAGGTATAGATCCCCGCATTTAATTTACTTTTTCTTTTCAGAAGCAATTTGAAGGATTAAAATGCTGTCATTTGGTATAGATGATCGTGGTTTAGCAAATTGATAGCGAGATGGAACACTCCTAACTATGTTGTAAGTTCGAATCACTCATCCTATAAGAGTTGCTTCATAATTGTAATATTCAAAACTAGATGGCTTTTTCAGTTATGGTTCGATTATTATTTTCCTTTTCAATTGTTATTCTTCATTTTTGATGTGGTTGCTGTTTGTGGTTTCCATTCAATGTGATCCGTACTCTCAGTTTTCTTTTCAGAATTCCTCTCTTTGCCTTTTCCCAAAGTTAATATTTTTCTCCATGATAGAAATTTTAAGGTCCATGTTAATATATATATATTTTTTTTTCAATTTAGATCCTACAAGTTAAAGGTATTGATGATGGAATTAAATTGAACATTGCTCATTGTTCCTTATTGTAGATAAGGTTGTATAGCAGCAAAACGTAGCACCGCAGCATCGCGCGGGCAGTCTTGCTAGTAATCTTCTATATCTCATAAGATTTCTACATAATATTTACTTATGATTTACACAGTTACATTCTTAATTAAATTAGAAATGCAACAAATTTTACCAAATAAAAAAATCTATATTTTAGAAAGGAAAAACAGACAATTACAAACCTTTTAACTGTCGGAGTATTAGCACTACATTGATATAAAAACGAAAAAATAAAGAAGAAAAAGCAACTTGTAGTTAGACGTACGCAAAGATGAGGAAAGCAGCACGAGGAACATGAACACAAATACCCTTAATTTGTCCATTGGTGGCTAAAATATGTTCGATCAATATTTTTTTTTTTCTTTCTCTTCAAGTTTTCATGTGTGACTAAAACTTGTATGTGGTCTAAAATCATAGTAAATAGGATGTTGGATTTCCACACGTGTTCGATTTCGAAATTCCTCCTCTTTAAAATTATTGTAATAATTTCAAACTCTCTCCCTTCTCTTTAATAATAATAAAAAAATGTGTTAGTAAATTTCTTTTATTCAATGTATGCAATGGTAATTAACAACTATATCTCTCTATGTATACAAGTCATTTTCATAAAAAGTGACCACGCCTGAGGATGTGAGGAATGCCCCACACAACAAAAGAATACAACCATGATGAAAATGACTTAATATGTTGACTAATTTGCTCTGACACCATAAAAAAAATTGATTTCATCATAAAATTAATTAATAATATATAGTAGATGGAATTTGACATGCAAAATCGTAAAATTCCAGTTGTACAGTATTCTTCAGGTCCTCATGGAGCATGCACGCATTAATCAGTTGGGTTTGGAAGATTCAAAGTAAGACAGACTCCTATTTTCTGGTCCAATCTGACTTTGTCTTCAATGCTGAATGAACATATCGGGCATGTCTCCCCCGCTACAAGCTGGGCATGAGTCATTGAGAAAGTGATTACTTAATTTCATAAATTCGCGACTTTGACATTTTTATCTTCATCACGACTAACAATAGTATAAAAAAATATTGCGTGTGAAAGAAACAGATGACACTACGAATGAGTCCCCGTTTGTGTATGTGTCTAGATTTCTCATATAAGTTTCTCAAACAATAGTGTTGATATAAGACTTCATAATTTGGTGATGTTATTTGGACACACAAAATTGACACACTTGTTAATAACTCTATAATACATCTGTGACACATATATTGGAATAAAGTTTAGTTATAATCAAAGAGTATGTCAACGAAGGATAATATACGCACACAACGAAACAAAATCCTAAAACCTAAGCCTTTAGGTGATGAAACATTTTGAGGTTCGTTGGACAAGATTTCACATCCTACGCACCATTTTTTCCTTGACGCCAAATGTTTGCCTAACGAAAATTGACTTGCCCAACTAAATGACTTTGTTGCGCATAGCCTCCGACAAAACCCTAATCGTTGACCTTTTTTGCCCAACCAACTGAAATTTGCATCAGGTAAAATTACATTATCCGACAAATTTTGAATTGTGGAGCATAAATTTGTAGAGCAAATAGTAATTTCTGGTAGTGTGACAGACTCCTATTTTCTGTTCTAATCAGACTTTGCTTTTTATTTTCTTCCATGCTTAATTGCATAATATATCAGCCATTGACATAATGATCACTTTCGACATTGAAAACCTCATAAATAATAACAAGAAGAAATTTCGTTTTGCATAATTTCATCAACACGTGATTTTGACAAGTATTATTGTATTATCTCGAAATTATGTGGAAGTTTTGTGGATGACTTAATGGGTATGCAGAAACCTTGACCTAGCAATAACATTTGGCTACCTAATCCGCGTTTAAATATGCATACGTGGGTAGCTTAGCTTAGCTAGGGGAATGAAGGAGCCAAACTTTATATCTCTACTCATGAAAATGGCCCCTTGTATTGCTATTATAGACTAGGTCTAAGAATTGAGCTTTGCGTGGTACTTTGTAAGAACCTTGATTATACTAGTGGATTGGACTTAGTGGAGAGTCCCCGATTTTGTTAACCTAGAGGTGGGTTTTTCCGACCAAAAACATCTTGTGTTCAAAGTTATTTATATTGTGTCACATATCTCACATACATATACATGCTACATGTATCACTTGAATATTTAATTATAATGTGCACACAATCATGCTCACTTGACACATTAATAACTTGGAACGAACTGAGACCTTGTAAACTAGAATAGTTTTTGATATTTGAAATTGGTTATTGAATCTTTGATTTATCGACTAACAAATCTATTTTAGTTAACTAGTGGGCTTGACTAGTCAGTTTAGCAGATTATAATTTTTATATACAGGATATTCCGTTTGTTACCAATTTCACACTTCTAATAAACGTGATTGTTACCTGACAAATTTCGATTCATGGAGCATAAATTTGTAGAGCAAATAGTATTTCTAGTAGTGACATACTCATGTTTTCTGCTCTAATCAGACTTTGCTTTTATTTTCTTCCATGCTTAATTGCATAATATATCAGGCATTGACATAGCGATCACTTTCGACATTGAAAACCTCATAAATAATAACAAGAAGAAATTTTGTTTTGCATAATTTCATCAACACTTGATTTTGACAAGTTTTATTTTATTAGCTCGAAATTATGTGGAAGTTTTGTGGACGACTTAATGGGTATACAGAAACCTTGACCTAGCAATAACATTTGGCAACCTAAACCGCTTTTATATTTATATTCATACATCCCAAATTACTTTTTTTACATCCTTTTTATTTTTTAATATTTTCTATCAAGTGTTAGTGGTGTTTCAAAAAATATTAAAAAATTAAAAGAGTGTGAAAGAAGTAATTTATGGTATGTGAATATAATATATACGGGTAGCTTAGCTTGGCTAGGGAAATGAAGGAGCCAAACTTTATATCTCTACTAATGAAAATGGGTCCCTTCCTTGTATTGCTATTGATATCATCATAATTAGTCTTTGCCAACGTTTCAGAAAATGCAATACATAGTTACCCTCTCTCTCTCTCTCTCTCATGCATGATAAATTATTGTTTAGAAGCTGTTTGATAACTACTTTGTTTTTAATTTCAAAAAATGCAAAATGAAAACAAAAAGCTAAAAGCTATTTTTTTTGTGCGTGTGTTTTCAGTGTACACTTTGATTTTGCTTTTCAATTTTTATTAAACACTTACCAAGCAAGTTTCTAAAAACGAAAAATAAAAAATTGAAATGGTTGTTGAATGACCCTTAACATCTAGCTAGTCATCTATAATGATGAAAGTTTCTTCTGGTTATTGCAGAGCATGCAGGGAAGATGGTCATCAGTAGGTTGCATCTGCAAATGGAGATGGTTCTGGCAAGGAAGAGACCTCCAACAAGCGTTCGGCGTCGTGGGCTCCCTGGAGCTAGTTATCGGAAAACTTCAACACCACATAGTCAACGATGATTACTACGACGTTGCCGATAACTAGCTCCGGGGAGCCCATGACGCCCACTCCGGCTGACGTCCACTCCGGGGGCCGAAAAAGTGCAGAGAAAGAAGAGGAAAGAGGAGGATCTAGAGGCTCTGGTGGAACCGGCTCTAGAGAAGATCCTCTCCCGATTAGGAAAATAGCTATAATGACATGTGTCGCGGTTGTATTGGTTAAAAGTGCCACATCAACAAGCTTGTCAGAAGGATGATTGGTTTATTAAGCAGTTAGTCGAATCTCTCCAAGAAGAATGATTAGTATCTTTGTTTGTAAGAGAACTTTCTACATGTTTATAACAAAACAATTCTAAATAAGCATTTATAAGAAAAAGTGCTTCTTCGAGATAAAGTCTCAAACGAATCCTTCATACTAGTTGAAAAGCCAAAGAAATTTTTACAACGAATGAATGGACGAAAATGGTAAATCCAAAATAAGAGTTGTTACCTACTATAATCTTTGTGGGGGAAAAGAAAGAGTGCTACAAAAAAAGTCAAGCAAAAAAGTTGTTCTTATTAACAAGTGTTTAGCAACTTCACACTTCAGAGGAAAAACACTTTAGAGAGATCGGCAAAGAAATAAAGAGAGCATGGGCTTGAGGAATTCAGTTATTGATATTCCTAATGTTTTGTACTTTTATTTGTATTAGTGAAGGAGAGAGAAACTTGTTCTCTAAGTAAGACAAATACTAATAGGAAAGATCTTTTAGATCTCGTAGGATTTCTACAATAATATTTGCTTTAGAATTACATAATTAGATTCATAATTAAATTAGAACTGCAACAAACACTACTGAATAAAATAAAATCTATATTTAGAGACAAAAACATACAGTTACAAAAAAAATATCATTACACTTACCATCTAAATTTATCATATTCAGTATACCACCTTACATGACAACCTAGTTGTACAGCCTAATATAATTTCTATTTTATTTACAAAATAAAAATTACATTAGGCTGTCCACCTCGTCTTTTACATAAAACGGTATAAATTTGTGATATATTTAGACGGTAAAAATAGAATTATTAGTTAGTTGGCTACGAAACTTGTAATTGTCAGTACCACATTGCTATAAAGAATCTGACATGCAAAATAATGATATTCCCGTTGTAGAGTATTCCTCAGATCCTGCTGGAGCATGCATTTGGTCAGTTGGGTTTGGAAGATTCCTATTTTCTGGTCCAATCTGACTTTTTCTTCCGTGCTCCCTTCTATATGGACAAGGATTGACTACCCTTCTAGTTTCAGTGCTTTTCCGTGCCTTTTTATTTGTGTGATCACGGTTAAGTCACATCTACATTTTATATTACTATTCATTTTTGTTTTATTATCTCTATAAAAAAACAATATAAAATGTTGACGTAGTTTAACCGTGACCACACAAAACAAGAGAACACGGGAGAACACCGAAACTAGGAGGGCATACGATCCTTATCCATTCTATATAGCAGGCGGGTCTGCCCCGCTACCTGGCCATGAGTCGTTGAGAAAGTGACCCCTTAATTTCATGACATTTTTATCTTCATCAAGACTAATAATACAATAAAAAGTATCGCTTGTGCAAGAAACAACACTCTCCGTTTGAGTCCCATTTGTGAATGAGTCTAGATTTCCCGTATAAGTTTCTTAAATAATAGTTGACAGTTTAGCCTTTCTCCCTGTCTCTAAGACTACCCTTGGGGATAAAGTTTAAAAATTTAAGCTAGAAAATTTGTGTCATAACTCAGAAACAATTTTTCTCCTCCAATACTTATGACTTAAAATTTTAACTCAAGATTATTAAATAATAATTTTAGGTCGGTATTTTTTTTGAAAATAAAATTTATCTAGATTATCCTAATAGCATAACATGTCACACGTATTATAAAAATGTACTCATTTTATGGCCTAAGAGTGTCTACACCAAAATTGAGCTATAATGGTGTGCGATATATAGCATAAAAATATGTGAGTTTTTATCATGGTTGGTCTCTAAAATTGGGCATTCTAATCAAAATGGTCTCTAAAATAGAAAATTTATCATGTTAGTTCCTAAAAATGAATTCCGCAAATCAATTTGGTAATT